CGCGCTCCTTGTCGTTGGCCCGAAGGAGAATCACACCTGCGAGACACGTGGACTCGTACACGTCAGCCGCGCGCTCGCCGCACTGCGCGATGCCGGCGGTGCTCGTTGACGATGAGCAGCTGCAGTTGCGCTAGTCGTCTGATTCAGGACAAAGGCTCGCGCCTTGGCAAAGGCGTTCAAACAAGCACTGCTGGTAGCGGCGCCGGCGGCGGAGGAGGAGGAGGAGGAGGACCGGCGGTGGTCATCGACACCATAGCCGCAGAACAAGTCACAATCTTCGAATGTCACAGCGAAAGGAGGTTCCACTCCATCTCCAATCCAATTGGATTGGTACTGCTCGAGGTGAGGAACTACCGACTCCCAACATCCAGAAAGATGATAAGAGTTTTCAAAATGCACCTTGCGCTGGACGTCCTCGACGCCATCGACAAACTTAAGCAAGTACGTGAGTGCGACACGTGGCGACACCTTGCCATCCATGACACCTTTCCCTCCTCCTCCTCCTCCTCCTCCTCCTACTGCTGCTGCTTCTGCTGTTGTTGTTCTACCTTTTGTCATTTTCTGCTGCTGTACCATTTTCTCCAGAATTTGATCTCTCCTCCTCCTCTTTAACTCGTCCTCTGCATCTCCTCCTCCTCCTCCCACTCCTTCTCTCCCGATTCCGCCGATTTCCATCAGCCGCTGCACGAAGGAGATAGACCAGGCTGATGGCCTAATCAGCATGACACGTGGCTCGACGACAACAGGTGCGATGTCCCCCCCCGGGCCTTCCCCCACAGAGCGCGTCAATTCCTCTCGCGAACCCCACAGCACGAGATCCCGATCTACGTACCTTTCCCAGGGGATCGCGAAGTCGAGGTCGAGCACCAGCACGTCAGGTGCCAGGTAGAGTAGCCAATCGTAGTCGCTATGCGTCTGCAAGAGGTTGGAGATCCCGACAACACTGTTCCAACCGGGATCTGTCGACGTGGCAGCAGCAGGAGAATCGGTGTGAGTTGCTGTGGTAGAATCGACGAGCCGGTCGAGAGACATCCAGACGTCCATGGCACCGCTGCCCCAGCGGCGCGCGTACAAAAGCCTGTTCTCTGCAATTTGCCGCCTGAAGCGGGCATGGCCACCGGCGACGCCACCGTCATTACCGCAGCTCAGCCAGCTGTCAGAGACGAGCAAGACACGTGGCGTTCCCTGCTCAGGTCGGCGAATCCACCTAGGCAGGATGAGCTTCGGCACGGATCCCTCTCCCTCCTCAACGATTCCATGTACATTGAACTCGTCGTCCTCGCCGTCGTCGTCAATATCGACGCGACGATTGTTTCCTGGGAATTCGAAGGCGCCATGATGAGGGGAGGCATTCCGTCTGGACCTGGATCTCGATCTCGGACGTCCCGATCTCGATCGAGAGGCCAGCGCGAACAGGAAGAGAAGGAGAACTAAGACAGTAAGGATTGCCGGTCGAGACACAGATCTCCGCCGATCGTCGAAAGTCCCCAAATTTTCTGAGTACTTTCCTTGTTTGCCCTTCCTCCTCCCGCCAGCTTCATCGTCAGGCGAAGGCATGAGAGAAGCAGAATCAGGAGACGAAGACAGATTGGAAGCCGGAGAAAGCCCACTTTGATGAGGATCTGAGCTCACATTGCTGCGAGCGTGTAATCCAACGTTGGGAGACTGAGATCGCATCAGATTCGGCGAAAGAACGACGATGCCGTTAGAGTCGAGCTGGCAAACATGGGAGAGGGAGGTGTCTTCTCCATCGTTGCCGACTCGCCGTCCTGAACGCGGGGCCAAGACCATGCTGTGCTGCTACGTTACGTACGTTGCTTTGCGCTCCGTCGCCTCGTTAGTTAGGTAGTCCGTCAGGAAGCAGGGAGGACCGAGGAGCGAGGAGGGAAGAGGGAAGAGGGAGGAGGGAGGGGTAGGAAAGGCGGTCGGTTTATTTCCTCAGTAATATCGAGAATCCCGATGATCCCGGTCCCTCAGCTGATCGGATGATTGCTCTTGGGMGGWGGGWGGAGGGAGGGGTTAGGGGAAGGCGGTCGGTTTATTTCCTCAGTTATACCGAGGATCCCGATGATCCCGGTCCCTCAGCTGATCGGATGATTGCTCTATGGCGTTATCTCCCAAAACGGAGAGAGACTCTTCCCTACCCTCTACAGAGAGTCGTCCCTACCATCTACCTGCACAGTCCCCGTAACGCTGCTCCGGGACTGCCAGTAGAGCGGGGCGTGATCACCTTATTGGTCGTAATTGTCGCCTTCGCTCTCTTTCCCGCCCCCTCCCCCTGCGCACTTACGACATGACTGTACTTCAGCGACAGTGTCGACAAATGGGAGCCCTTTTTTTTCCCTTGCCTTTTTTTTTCCCTTCTTATTTCCTGGCAATATTGCACCCGTGCCTCGTTTCAAGAGGGTCCTATTAGCACGTGGGTTGGACTGCCAAATAGTCAAAATAGTCAAGGGCTGTGCGACGCCTGCTAACCGTACGATTTTTATTTTATTTTATTTTTTTAAAGCTATGTTCTTCTCTCAATTTCACCTCACACTACCTACCTGCCACTACTCCTAATTGTAGGCATACGGGGAACCCCGTAGCAGCCACAACCGTGTTCACGAGAGAACATCCGGGGGCTGCTGCCGACCTGCAGGTGGTCGATACTGGCTAGGGGACAGCCAGTAGCACCAGGACCTTTGCCTCCCCTCAGGTGGTGGTCCCCGCCCCCCCCGGCTACGAACATCAGCAGACTCTGCTCAATGCCGATCGGGGGATCCAGTGGTCTTTCTCTAGGTGGCGGGCGCCAAGCATGCCCAGGAAGGTACATGAGGCCAATGGGGATTGAATGCCACTTGCGTGCCTTACCAACGGAGTTAGGCTGCTGGATAACCGTACGATTTTCTTCTCCCCCCCATTTTTTAATGACGTTTATTGCTTTCAACTTTCAAAAGAAAAAAGGAGTCCCACTAGCGAAGGGTTTACCGCCTCCCTCTACCACACGCCATATCGCCTGTTTGGTGAGCTCCTTCATGGCTCCACCACTCACAACGGCCGCTGTGTCAGAAGTACTAGCTTTCTTTTTCTGAAAAAAAAAGGCCCAACTAAGAGCCTCGTTCCACACCACTTGAGAACTCTTGAGTTTCAAGTGCACCCTAATCATGAAATCTTGATTAATTTACACTACACGGCCTCCTCGTTCCATGCACACTAGAGACCGAACTTGAAAATGTCGCACTTGAAAGAAAAACACCCTGGCTCCCCCTTGTGCGGAGACCCACCGGTGGGTTTTCGATCCAGTAGGCCGGCACCCGGCCTTGAATATGTCCTCCTCAACAGTTCCACTGCTGGCACCCGGTACCGCCACCGGTAGCCGTTGCTCACTGGACAGCAAAAAGGACATGCCGTGAACCAGGAACGCGGGGCGTAAAAGAAAAAGAAAAAAAAAATACCTGCACCCGCGGCTGAAAACCAAGGGTAGCTTTTGAACTCAAGGCACCTCCGGGAGGTGACTTGAACTCAAGTGCGATTTTGCCTGGGCTGCACTTGAATTTCAAGAGCGGGCACTTTAGATGCAAAATGTGAAAACAAAAAAGCATTTCTCTAGGGCGGGGTGGAACGATGATTTCGCGTCGCACTTGAACTCAAGTGGTGTGGAACAAGGCTCTAATTCAATACCTGCTACAAAAGGTGGGCGATACCCGCCAGGTGGCAGCAGGTCGGCAGTACCGACCAGGGTCCAGCAGGTGGCGATACTGGCCAGGGTTCAGCCGGTAGCAGCCTGTAGCAGCCTGTAGCATCAGGACAGCGGAGTTTCTTCAATGGGCTGGTTGCTGTGCCTCCCCTCGGATCTCTTGCCCCTACGAACATCAGCAGTCTCTGCTCAATGCCACTACTGCAGGGGGAACCAACGCCCTATCTCTACGTGGCTGGTGCCAAGGTTGCCCAAAAGGTAACGAGGCTAGTGGGGATTGAACCCAAGACCGCCTAAATGCCACTTGCATGCCTTACCAACTGAGATAGGCCGCTGGGTACCCTTTTCCTTGGTGGTGAAAAACCAGTTTGTTTTTCCCTGCCTGCAACAGCAACAGCGGGGTTGTGGAGGCTCCTCTCGGGTCTCACCAAAACTTTTTTTGTGGGGGGTAACTAGGGCGCAGTCACGATTTCAGTTTTAAATGCACTTCAGGCATCCTCTAATACAACACATCCCCACCGGACCCTGAAGCTGGGTTGTACATTCACGATTTTCCTGGATTGGCACAACATTCGTGAAATTGTGACTGAATGGCATTTACAAACTGAAATTGTGACAGCTTCTCTCTCTCACACACACGAACACACACACACATACACACCTACAGACACACACACACAAACAGAACGCGTGTGCCACAAAATGAAACACGCCTCACAAAATGAAACACGTGCTACAAAATGAAACACGCACCCGTCACACAGACACACACACACTCACACACACATGCCCCCCACCCTCCTCCCATCTGCTGCCAAATCCTATCCCACCATCGCCAAGCCCACACCGACCCTGGGCATTGCATGAACATGTGTTTGACGGTTTCCGAAAGTCTCCTGGTTGGGAAATTGGCTATACTCTGTTCGCACCAGGGATGGGCAAACCCCCACTGCTCCAGGGTGGACTGAGCATAGGGTCGGCTGGCTTAGTGCCCAGATCACAGACTTCAAGTTGTACCACAGGGAGGCGAGGATCACATTATTTATAACCAGCAGATGGCCCAGAAGCGAGGTCTGCTTATCCTTCCAAAGTGACAGTTTCTGTTGGACCGGCGCAATATCCATTCCTCGTTATTACTTGGCCTTCCCGTGGCTGAGATAAGTACCCCCAACACCCGGATAGGGGTCTGGTGGGGGATCCACTTGACTCGGGGAGTCTCAGGTGGTCTGCCCCCTTCGTAGTGGATCCACCACCCCTGCATCTTGTTGCCCCAGTTGACCTCCATGTCCGAGACCCCAGCAAAAGGGCCCATCATGCCCTCGAACATGAACAGAAAATGTGTTCAGCTGGTTCCCTAATCTGCCTGGAGGCCAGCGACCTTGCGTCCACACAGTGGCACCCTTCACAAGAGGAAAACCACTCCTTTTAACCACCACACGGACGGCCCCTGCAGAGTTCATTTTTCTTGTCTACAAGTACCAGGCCTGGTAAAGGTTAGGGGGGAAGGGTACCACAATTATTTTTCCTCACAGTGGCACTGTAGATTGTAGGCTAGGGGAAATGTATCTTTTGGTTTGTCAAAATAGGTAAGTATGGAGTGGTCGTTTTAAGCAAAAAGTACCGTGTCAGAATCCGAAAAGTGACGCAGGCCACTAATTCTTTTTATCGACGGTGCGCCTGCGCCGTCTTTTTTGGATGGCATCTCATAGGAGATGAGTTTCTTTTCAGCAAGGCTGCGGCCGTGTGCCAGCGGTTTAAGGTCCAGTGTTTTCCCTCACTAGTAGGACCTACGCAGGGATGTTCTTTCACAAACAAACAAAAAAAAAAACCCCGGCTCTCGAGATTATGATCCAATCTGCAGTGGGGAATCAGCTGTCGGGAATTCTGCCAAAAGGGGGGGCCTAGATTTTTCAGTACTCATTGCAGACTTCTCCAGATTACTGAACCATGTCGTTCTGGATGGTAGATCCTTATCTGCATTTATATATCTTTTCAAAGACTCGGAATTTGAACCATTTGGTCGACTTCTCGATTTATACGTGTCATCCTTGTGTGGAGGCCATGTGGATCTTCTCTGTATTGTTCCAATGTTAGTGGATGTCCCAAAGGACTCCTCCTCTGTATTTGGAAGTTTTTTTAACCACCACTATCGACCCCCCTCCTCCCAAAGTTGCATTAACATGAAGACCAAGGAAAGGGTTGGAATATATCGGACCCTGGGGGTGTGACGATCTCTTTTTTGATGAGCGCCATCTTCTGTGCCATGGTATCGTGGGGGTTGGGAAAGAAGGGGCCTGGCTCAATTGCACCAGTGCCCCCCTGTTTTTAGAAAAAAACTGGGTCCATGGCGGTTGGTAGGACGCGCCATAGCAAACGCGGAAATAACTGCTGACGCAGCCTCTTTCTTTCTTTGTGGTTGACGGAACTGGGCGGGGAAGTTTTAGCACGATCGCCGTGTGCGGAATCTTTTTTTATTTCTTTTTTGAATTTTGAACTTACACAGGTTCTCGGAATTTCTTCTTGCAATTAGGACTTTGATAATTAGGCTACGGATTTGGGAGCATCGTATTTTTTGGCTTTAACTGCACCGCTGCGATTGGGAGGACTTTGATAATTAGGACTTGTTTAAGACACTCACCAAGGCCTCGCTGCTACGGTGGTCACGAAGACATAAAAGATAGAAAAGGGTTGTATCTTTACATGTTTTAGTAGAAGATTCATTCTCATTGCATATTTGTCGAGGAGTGGAGTGAGGCCCCAAGTAGGGGAAAGAAATGAATCTCCAACCAGAACATGGAAAGGTACATCGCTACTTATCTTTTACCCTATTTCTCAAGGATCCGAGCCCCTCATCCGTGGTCCAGAATTGAGCCTACACAGCTTGGACCCGACCCCCTTGTGAAGGTAAAGTTGGTTCTGTTCACTCAAACATAACGCATATGCATTGTAAACGAATACAACGCACGATATGCGTTGTAAACGAATACAACGCACAGTATACGTTGTAAACAAATACAACGCACGGTATACGTTGTAAACGAATAAAAAACACACTATGCGTTGTATTCGTTTACAAGGCATATGTGTTATGTTCGGGGGAAGGCAATAGCCATATCCCTACGAGTGATGGAAAGGGCGGGAAGAAAGAAAGATCTGATCCCATTCACCGAAAACGATGATCTTATCTTTGCGAACGAGGAGAAAACCTGAGCGGTAGGGAGGATGGCTAATGTCGCTTTCCGATTGGGGAAAGTT